CTACTTATGATCCAGTAGGTGGCCCTACACCCATATACATCCAGGTAACACTAAGGGGACTCAGTGTGTTTTCAAAACACAGCACGTGAAATTGGGTTGGAAAAAGTAGGGAGAGAATAGGGGAAGAATTGGAAGGGAGGACTTGTGAAGCAAATTTGGTCAAAATACATTATACGTATGTTTGAAATTCTCAAACAATAAAAAAAGGCACTTTAAAAAGGAATAAATTCTCAAACAATAAAAAGGTACTTGTGCCAAGGATCCAAGTGCAACCGATTATAACTAGTAAAAGATACATACAGATTAGAGATGCATGCTCCAACATCTCAGTGTTAGCAAAAGCAATGAGTCTTTCTGCAAGGAACAATATATTCTAAAATGAAATGGAGCTCTTTTTTAAAGGTTAAAAACTCATTCAATTTTATGTCTTACAGGGCTTATACTGAGTTCAATATTGTATAACTGTATTAATTCAGCCGTGAACCTAGAAACTTGCACCCACTTGTGAAAGAGATGTACTCTTGCTCTGGAGTGTGTTACTGAATATGTTAAAGCTGTAGTGAAATGCTTCATCTAATCATGTAGTTACTAAAAATTAAAAATAAATAATGATAAAAAGGTAATTTAAAAAAGAATATGGCTGTACATGGATGAGGGTGAGGCACAACAAGTCCCAGAGAGAGAGAGAGAGAGAGAGAGAGAGAGAGAGGTCTTTTTTTAAAAAAGCACATGAAAGTGGGAGGGGTAAGTGGTGGGGAAGGATGGGGAAGAACTGAAGGGTAGGCAATGGGGTGGATTTGATCAAAACACATTTATATGCATGTATGAAATTCTAAAAATATTTAAATAATATGGTTGTATGTGATGAAATCCATTGTTTAGTATACTAACCTTTAACCCTAAATTTAATTTCTAAAAGAATATGGCCATATCGTGTGAGACAGAATGTCAATTTCTCTGTAGGAAGATAATGAATTGAAAGGGGTCGAATGAGATTGTGTATGTGCAGGGATCCAGGCTTCATGAACTTCAGGTACATCCTATGCCTCTGATGTAGTCTCAAGACACAGTGTTGTCTGTTCTCATGATGCCACTGGGCATAACGATATCAACATGATTTCTTATGTTTCTACGAGTTCCACTGTTCATGTTTTTTCTACATTAACCAGGGAACAAGGTAGCCATGGCTCTAAAAGATGGACCTCCATCCCATGATGACTTGCTGTTGACCTTGGATCCAGTACCTGACTGTCTATGTGTTCTGTTTCCTGTAAGAATAACCGGGTCTGAAGACGTAGCTAGTGGTTAAGAACACTGGATGCTCTTGCAGAGGACCTGGGTTTGGTTCCCAGGACACACATGGCGACTAACAATCACAACTCCACTTTCAGGGAACCTGATACCTTCTTCTGGCCTCTTAGAGTATTGTATGCATGTGGTGCACTTACATGGATGCAGGCAAAACACTCGGATACATAAAGATAAGTAAAATATAAAGGTATGAGATGGGTTATCTGGGTTTTGCCTTGGTTTCAGTGTTTTGTTTCGTTTTAGCTTTTGAGATAGGATCTTATTATGTAGGCCTAACAGGGCTGGAACTTGCTATGTGAATCAAGCTAGGCTGGAACTCACAGCCCCACTGACCTTCACCTCATGACTTTAGAAGACATTGCTGATCCAAAGAACATTTGTGAAGACTTCCTATCTATAAGGATCCTCAATAATATTCTCATTCCACAAATACATAGTGATGCTGACTTTACCAAGGGCTAGGAATGGAGTCATGAACCAAAACAGAGCTATCTTCCTATGGAAATGTACACAAACCTGCAGCTATTTCAAACTTTCAGCAAGTTCAAGTTTATCATGCCATAAATGACTAAGCTTAGGAGCAGAATACACAGGTGGTCAGTCTAGAGAATGTCAGGAAAGAGACAGGATAGACAATGAGACTGCTGTGTCAGATTCTGTCTGTGCTGAAGACGGTGGGAAACCATTGATGGGATTTAAGAGAAGAACTGGTCAGATTTCCGTTTCAATCATAACCTGAAAGAACCCTAAGAGTAAATAGACAACTTAGACTTCGGTAGTCAAGGGAGACAGAAAACCTTCTGCTTCTGGAGATGCTAGATTTCCAAATGGCATGTGACATTCATGTCTAACAGCAGTGTCCCAGACTGGTGGCAAGTGGGAAGTCCTAACCTCTCATGTGCTTCTAGAGTTTGGATGAAGTAGGACCCTTCAACAAACGTCACAAGACCACTTCTGATGTGGAACTGCTGAGAAGAGCCCCAGGCCACAATTAGCTCTGGTGTCAGGCATCAGTAAACAAGGTCATGCTGAACACAGCCTATGACCAACCTGTGAAGAAGCATCATCAGGGCACAGTGACATGGTAGCCCAGGTGTACAACCCTGCTCTTTCCTTGAGGTTGGTCAGGTTTTCAGCCTTGTGAAGTCTTAGTATCTCTACCCATGAGATACTAACAACACTCGCCCATTGGATGATCCCATATCTGAGCACTTAGCCACAGAACATTATTGAGACACTTACTTGTAGCTATTTAATTAAAGTTATCTGGACCCTATTAGGTATGTAGGATTCTACCACAAACTTTAAGGGAGTCCCAAATTTCCTATCCTCTATTATGTATTGAAATGTGGTCCCCCAAAATATATGTGACTTTACTTGGACTAGGGTCTTTCTTTACAGATGCACTCAAGTGAGGACGAGGTCATACTAGGTTAGGGTGGGCTGCAATCCAGTGACCTGTGTCCTAATGAAAAGACAATTCAAATGACACAGACAGGAAAGAACACAGTGGCAATAGAACCAAAATGGTCAGCAACCAGCACAGAACAGATGCCTTCAGAGCCCTGCAGAAGAAACTAACCGTGCTGACCTTCGACCTAGATCTCCAGCCCCTGAGACACTCAGAGAATAGTCACATGGGCTGTAGTGCTTCAGGAAGCAAATATCACAGGTGTAGGCCATCTGGTATCACTGGCTTGATTAAACAGAACACTTAGACCTTGAACTTGAAAGGACCAGGTATCCTCACATAGGAACAAGACTCCTCAAAGAGTACCCTAAGAGCCACTGCAACAGACCCAGGAGAGAAAGTGGGTGCCTGGATGAACCCATTTCCTGATGGGTAGAATGATAGTATTTATGTCATTAGAGCTACTGAAAAGTTTAAACAAGATGTTGCCGATAAGAGCTTTCGTGTAACGATTGACAAGTTCAAGATCTCAATGTATTTTAGCTGTTGCCTTCCTATCACAGGTGGTGTGAAGTTTTATAAGCATAACTTCTCTGAGTCTCAGCTGTGCCATTAGTAAAATGAGTGTAACATATTTAGCAAGCTTGTCAGGAGGAGCAAAAGAGAAAAATACAAGGTTTTTGAGGGTCATAAAAATGGCTGCCTGTGGTAACAGTTTTGAGTCACTAGGTGGCAGCAGAGTCTCATTGTCCTTCAGGCACCAGGGGATTTAGACAGTCAACGCGCAAAAGACTTCCCTAGAACTTGTGGCCACAGGGAGCGTTCACCAACCAACTCCCTGGAAGACAGACAGCCTTCTGCTTCCTGAAGAAAAATAATGTGATGGAACCCACCTTCTCTAAGAGCTATCTAGGTTTCCCAAATCAGTGTTTCAAAGCAGAATTATATTTTACAGGGATAGTTTTTAACTTTTATATGGTTAGGTAAAGTCCTGGACAACTTAGAGCCCAGTATATCAGCACTACTGAACCACTTAGGAGCCTCAGAAACAGGTCAACTTTTTCCAAAATCATTCCGTTCCACTTTGAATTTTTTATGAGTTAGTTACACAAGTCTATCGCCTTTTGTGTCACAAGTATTTGAAGAACTCTTCAGGTTTCCATTCCACTGTGTCTAGGTGGTTTTACCACGGCTAATGGCTGACTGGGTATCCACCAGTCCGGCAGAGCTGAATTACAATTTTGCTTGAGCTGAACATGTCATGAACACTCACTGTGGAAAGATGAACAGACCCTCCCTTCTGCCACTTATCCCAGTGCATCTCTTCTTGTGAAACAGTTCAGACGTGCAGGTAAGTATTCAGAATATCACAATAGTGGCCAGTGGGGGCTGGGGAGAGCACTGACTGCTCTCACAGGGGACCCGGGTTCAATTCCCAGCACCCACAGGGAGGCTAACAACCATCTGTAACTCTACTTCCAGAGGATTTGATGTCTTCTTCTGACCTCAGGGTGCACCTACATACATGCAGGCAACACACTCATACACATAAAATAAGAATAATAAATAAATAAAAATAGTGACCAGCATAGGTTCCACCAGGTTAAAAAAAAAAAAAATCCACCTACCCTGAAGGCCCCAGGGTGCTCCCTGGGCACACACCCCCCTCCCTTCTCCTATCCAAGATGCAAATTCTTCCAAATTTGGTGTGGGTCATCAAGACTATGTTCCCGTTGGGAAAGTCTGAGGAAGAACCAAGCAAGCCTTCTCTGCTGGCTGAATAAGGGAAACACACTCCAGGAGACACAGAGGGGAAGAATGGGAGAGAGAGAGAGAAGGGAAGGGAGAATCCTATGAAAGTTACAAGTCTCTTGAATGTTCCCAGTGCAAAGAAATGTTAAATGTTTGAGGTAATAAAGAAATATGCTAATTACCTTGATATGATTACTATGCATTGTACGTGTGTCAAAATTACTGTGTCCCACAAACACAACTATTTTTATGTCAGTTACATTTTTTTTTTTTTTAAGAAAGAAGCCCAGGGGATTCAGGTGGTCCTTCAGTCAGCTCAAACCAGCCCAACGTGCTAAGAATGTAGCTTTGTGGGGACATGGTCCAAGGATGTTCACTGTGGAGAAGGACCACACTGAGGATCAAAAGCAGGATTACGTCCCTCCGTGCATCTGCAAGCACCTGTTCCTCCACCATCCTCCCCTCCTCACATGCTCCAGGAGCTCAGGAGCCATGGCACCCATGCAGAAGTCTCAGAGCCACCTACCAACAACGATGAGGACCTCCCTGTCGATGTGGGCCTGGATGTAGATACGGCCACGGCGCTCCGTGTGGTCAGTGCCACAGAGGCTGGGGACATTCATCACACAGCGCTTATGGACGTTCATCATGCAGGCTGTGAAGGCAGAGAGAGGGGCATGGTTCAGGCTAGCCCAGGCTGGCAGCCACAGGCATCTGTTGCACCTGGGCCAGCTAGTACCTTCCTGTTCCCCTACCTTAGAGATAGTTGAGCCTAACAGAGAATAACCTTGCCAGCATCATACCAGGACTTCAACTCTGTCCCCCAGTCCTGATGGAAGACGGAAACTGAATGTGGTCATCCTTCCTGAAGGCCAAGGGTGCAGCTTGAAGCAGGCTCCTCTGTACCCCAATGTCTCTGACGTCACCGTTCCAGCTCTAATGCCCAGTGTACCACTCCCACCAGTGTAGGGAGATGTGGATGTGGCCAAATGGAGGACACAACTCAAGTGGGCCTACAGGAATGCCTACCCAATACTGTCAAGTTACCACATGTTTAAGATCAGCAGAAATCCAGACTTGTATGAGACATCTCCCAAATTTAAACTACTGACAACTAATAGGCTGGGTTCCTTTGAAACTAGGTATAAGAACAGTGTGGCTTATGGAAAGGGTTCTGCAAGAGGCAGCATTGGCCTAGCATGTGTATGAGGTCAAGGGAGTCTGGGGCCGAAGTGACCCTTCAGAGACATCCGAAGGGACTTCTGACATTTGTTGGCATCAGGCAGGGGCTGGCCAAAAATGACCCTTTGAGAAAGCATCACCTCAGGCAATGCCCCATAAGGAGGTGCGTCTCTGAACCCACAGAAGTTGGAGGACAGAAAGGGACACAAAAGGAGGTCTACGCACAGCACAGTGGCCACAGTTAATGATGCCAACTCAGACTAAGAGCAATGAGCTACATCCATCAACTCTTACCTGGCCATTCCCTCTCTCATGCATTGTGATTTTAAATGCCCCTATGCAGCCTTCCCTGGCATCTGTGTTTGCTTCTATGCAGCAGGCAACTCTCCAACACCAAGTGGGTACAAGAGCTTCTGTGGAAAGGTGAATGGGAACCTAGCGTTCTCCAGGGGAACGCAGGTACTCATGTGAGAAGGTACAGGAGAAGCTGTGTCACACTGACCTGCATTTCAGGAGACTCCAGAGAGTTGCTGAGGAGACCCTTCTCAGCCCACTCAAAGCTTAGGAGGCAATGTGAGAAGGGGTCAGCAAGATAGGAAGTCAGGGCCTGGGACTGAGCACCAGCCCAAGCCTCTACCCAATACCCCTGTCTGTGAGGCAGGAGCATCAGCCCTCAATAGATCACTGTTCTGTGAGATGAACAGGTGTCCCCTGGCTGGAGGCCTCACCTTACTATGTTTAGTAGGGCCTTTCCACCTCAATGTCCCCGAGGCTCTTCCCTTGTCTGTCTCTCTGCCTGCATTAATATGTGTCCCTTGGCTCTGATCCTGTCTCTGTGTCAACCTCATTGCCTCAGCTGCATCTGGAGACAGATGTGTCTCCCTCGTCACTTAGTCTGGTCTCTTGGTCTCTCTCCAGTTTTCACTGTGTCTCTCCTCTTCTCTCTATCTCCCCATGTATGAGTTTCAGTCTCTAGCTCTGATCACTCTCATTCATTGTATCTCTGTGTGAGCCTTGGGAACACACCTCTCTGTGTCGTGCCCCTGTTTTGTCTGTCTGTCTTTTTGCCTGAGCTCCTCTCTCAGCTGAGCCCCATTGTTCCCTGTGCTTGGCTGTGTTCATCTGTCACCTTGTATCTGTTTCTGTCTATGAATGAATGTGTGTGTGTGTGTCTATCTGTCTGTCTGTGTACCGTGCTTTCTCCCATTCCATCCATATTCAGACTCCTCTGGGCCTCAGGATCCCTGTGTCAGAGCTACTGGTTTTGTGTCTGCTCATCCTGTGTAGGCTCAGTGAAAACTCTGAGCCTCCCTGCCCACTTTGGAGCCTCAGCTCTGGAAACCTCAGAGGCCATCCATGTGTTTACTTAAAATAAAAGACGTCCCCCATGTACCCACTTTCCTCCCCACTCCATCCAAACCAAAGAATCCCACTCTTTTCCAAGGGTGCTGCGGGGAGCCAGGGCTGGTCTGAACAAAGAATGTATCAGCAGTTTTGAAAACAACTGGGGTTCACAGTTTCAGGAATGACCCACCTGTTCATACCATCCTGTGTCCACAATGAAGGATGGCCCCCTTCCACACTGCCTGCTTACTTCTCTGTGTGACTTGCAGACTTAGAGCAACACATGAACAAACGCTTGGTGTGCTTGCCAAGGGGGCTCACCCTCCTGGAGCACTTAGAACCCTGTGACTTCCACATAAGCAAGTCCAGCAAACCTGCTCAGAATGAAGACATGTGGCCCAGCAATCCACACCACCCAGAGGAGAAGCAACCACCTGGAGACACAGGGAAAGCTATCCAACCCAACCTACTGCCCACCAAATGTACATAAGGAATCCCAGCTGACTTCGTCTAAGTCCAGGCTGACGAGGCAAAGGACTACTTTGCAGGGCTCTGTGCTGTGCAGATAGTTATTATTTCAGTCAATGTGTGATGGGAAGGAGGGCTCAGCACAGGGCAATGGGTAACCAGCCTCACTCAGGGGTCAGGAGGATATGCTGCAGACTTGGACCAAGAGGAAGAAGCCCTTTCTGGTGCTTCACCTGTATATGGGCAGAGGCTCCCCCAAAGATCAAGTACTTACTGTCACATTTCATCCCCTGGTGAATAAGTCCATACAGCAGGGACCCACAGTGGTCACAAAAGGTAGGGCTGGAGTAGGTGTGGATCTTAAACTTGTGTTTGCTCCGGGGGTCCTAAGACCAAGAGAAAGACAGAATTGGTCGTTAGAAACAGACAAAAGAGGCCATCGTTCATGTGGCTATTTGGGAAACCGAGGATTCACACTGCACCGAATGTCACTGGAGCTCTCCCCCATACCTGTGGGACAGTCACCCAAGCATTGTGCCCATAAAAAGCACTCAAATGACCAAGCTGCAGAGCCAACCTGAAGCAAAGACTCTAAAGCTAGCAAGGAAAATTTAACAGGCCTTACTGCTCCTATCCTTCCTTTTCCTTTTATTCTTCTGGAACAATCTAAAACCCAAATCTAGCCATGAAGCATTATCACTTAAATATCACGTGCCAGTTCCTTACCAACTACAGAGCTGAGTTCAAAGTAGAGCAGACCAGTTTGCAGGCTATGGCTCCTACCAATATACATCCTTGTCTTTCACAATAGAGCCCTTGAGTGTTAACAGAAGACATGCTGCTCAATAGAGACCACCCTTGCCAGCCTCCCTTGCAGCTTGGTATAGCCCCATGACACGGTTCTGACCAATAGGAAATGTGTTTTCTGGACCATTACCTTAAAAGGAACATGGGTAAGCTTCCATGGTCCTTTCCCACAGGCTGGAAGAAGGTGAGAAAATGTAGTGATGACCTTGAACCTGAACTTGGAGTCATGTGAAGAAGAGCAAAGACACCCTACCAGCCTTGGACTTTTCTCTTCTGGGTGATACCTGAGAGCAAACCTAACATCTGTGTCTGGTCATTATATTAGGGGATCTGCATTATTTATAGATTACAGCAACTTACATAGTTTCTTAACTAATAAGAATCACTGTGACAACCTGGAAGTATGGTACAGATGTTAAAGAAACAGACTTAGGAGCATAAACAAGCAGGGTTTTTTTTAGCTGAATGGCTCTAGGCAAGTTATTTCACCCTTTTCTGCTTCAGTTTCCTTGTCCATAAAATGTAACTAATGATAGAGCTAAGACTATCATTATAGCACAAGGCTGTTGGGAAGAATAAATGGATTAACCTATGTGGATTGCAGAAACACCTGGCACATAGTAAGCAGGAACTGTAAGCTTTCACACTGTCATTACTACTTCCGTACTGTGTGTCCCTCCTCCAAGTATGGCGCTGGTGCATGGTGTGTTCTTAGCACACAAAACGAGTTCACCCCACACACTACACCCTCCCTCACTCTCTGGCTCTGGGTGTCCTTCCTGAGGATGTTCATAGTTCCAACCACAAAACTCCTGTTCAAACCCAGGGCAAAGTTGCTTCCTCTGAGAAATAGCACATTGCCAAAGTTAATACCACAGGCACTGGTTCCAATCCAGGGCTGATCAGACGCCCTACTGATTGTGGTCTGTTGCCTCGCTCTTCCTCCAGTCATTCGTCCAGTCACATGATTTACTGATGCAGGGACAGGTGCCTCCTTAAAATTTATATGCTACTCGCAGACAGAATATGAAAGAGTAAGCAAATAATGCAACATGCAGACATTGCTTTTACAGTGATGAGTGGCTCTCCCAAGGAGATGGTTATTTTCCTTTTTAAATAGTATTTTATTTATTTTATTTTATGTGTATGAGTGTATTACCTGCATGTGTGTAAGTGCACTCATGTCGTGCAATGCCCAAGGTCAGAAAAGGGTGTCAAATCCTTTGGAACTGGAGTTATGGATGGTTGTTTGCCGCCATGTGGGTGCTGGGAATCAAATGCAGGTCCTCTGCAAGAGCACCCAGTGCTCTTAACTACTGAGCCATCTCTAAAGCCCTGGAAATGGTTATTTTCAAATTTAAAAAAATAATCTATGCACCCATTAAAATTTGAGAAAGCTAAAACTGATGGAGGAAGGCACTGGACATCAATCTTGGCCTCCACAGCCTTGTGCACACATGCAAACATGCATACACATGCACACATTAAACATACCTGTGTACACCCCAAAGAGTGCATCTTAATAAGGTTCACTGAAATAGTCTCAATCACACAGGTTCTGTTGCCCTGCATCTTCTTTCACAACATTCCAAACCTCTGTGGTTATTAGCCCTTACAGCTCTGGATGGGCCAAGTCTGAGAGGCTGGATCCACTCTGCTCTGGCCAGCAAAACTCTGCAGAGCCCACAGTACACACAAAAACCCCAGCAGCCACCTGTCCCACTCAACGGCTGAAGTGATCCTCTGGTAACAGCAGCAGCGCTTGGGAATCACCAAATGAATTTGGAAGCTCACAATTAGCAGCTTAATCAGCCTTGTCTCTATCCATGGGCAAAGAGATTGTGTCACAATGGAGTTCCTAGAGTCACCTGCTCTGTGCTACAGAACACTTTCCATTGTACCCCCTTGAGCATCTCCCTTAAAATGAGAAAGGAATGCTTCAAACCAAACCCACCTTCAAACATAAAAAGAAATCCCTAAGTATCAGTCTCTGCCCATTGTTTTCTTTTACCACCCCACCCAACTGCTAAGGAGGTAAAAAGATGATCTTTTTGGTGATTGGTCCAGTCCCAGTGGGCGGAGCTAGTGCCTGGGGTTAAAATGCAAGCCAGCATCTTTTTCTTTCTTTTACAACTCTTGCCTCTTTGAGGAGACTGCTGGATCCAGATCAGTTAGTCTGGCCCTGAGAAAGCTGATGTGGGTGGCTAAGGCCAGCTGTACTTCAAGCTCTGAGTCTTGCTCTTGAGGTCCCTACTAGGCTTTTTGATACGTTAACCTTGTAAAAGTCAAGACTGTGTTTTCAATTAGTGTTTGACTTTCCTCAGACCTACATAGTATATAAAACAGGAGTCCCCAGTGGCTTTCTGAGTTCTATTTTAAGACTTTGGGCAAATCTTGACTAATTGTACTTAGTCAATTACTGGGTTTGCACTTTTCTTCATATAAATATCTTCTTGGGAGATCTCAGGGAGGAATCAGACACTCCTAACCAAATGTGAACAAGAACTTTCTCCATGGGTCTGGAAAGATGTCTCAGTGGTTAAAAGGACTGGCTGATCTTTCAGAGGACCCAGCACCCACAGGACAGCGAACAATCATCCTTAACTCCAGTTCCAGAGGATCAAACACCCTCTTCTGGCCTGTACAGGCACTGCACAACATGAGAGCACTACATACATGCAGGCAAAACACTCATATACGTGAAAAAAAAATTTTTAAAGAAGCTTCTCCATCTCTTCAACAATAGAAGGGATCAAGTGACCCAAAGAACAAGAAGGGGAAAGAAAACAAGTTTACTGAGAGTTGTATGTTTATGCTGGGGGGACTTAGGCACTCTCTCTAATTCTCAGGACATACTGCACAGGTCTTCTTTGTTCCCAAATTAACAATGACAAAGTGAACCAAGACTTCAGAGTAACTTCTTTATGTGTGTGTACATGTTTGCATATCTACATATATGTGTGAATGTGTGTACATGCATATCTATGCATGTGAATGGATGTGTATATGTGTGGGTATGCTTATGGAAGCTAGAGGTCAACATCAGGCATCTTCCTCAATCGTTCTCCACTTTGTACTTTGAGACAGCCTCTCTCACTGAGTCTGGAGCTCCCTAATTTATCTAGACTGGCTGACCAGCAAACCCCAGGGATCCTCCTGTCTCTGCCTCCCCAGCCCTGGGATTACAAGTGCACACTGCTGTGCCCAGCTTTTACAGGGGATTGAACTAGGTCCTCACGCTTGTGAAGTAAGCACTTTACTGACTGAGCCACCTCCTCAGCCCCACAGAGAGCAACCCTTACGAAGATGGGGTTCACGCCACATCACTCTCCCTTATCTCTTCACCCCCAACTTCAGTTCCTTAAAAAAAAAAAACTCGTCTTTCAAATGAAGTTAAAAACAGCCTTTCATCCACTCATTCATTCATCTAGCCAGCAAACATTTCCTCCATGCTTCCAAGTGAAGCCAGCCATGATCGAGCAGGACCTTCTGACTTATCCTCACATAGATGGAACTGGTAAAAGGAAAGCCAAATGAGCCAGAAGCTCCTC